ATACTTGGATATATATATATATATATATATATATATATATATATATATATATATTTTTTCTGTTTATATGTTATTTTTATAGATAAAAGTTTTTAATTAAACAGAATTATTATTAATTAGGAATACACGTTTGATTCTTAACGGCAAATGCATATTTTCTACGAATTTTCTCGAACATTCAGGCCGCTAAGTGTAATTAATACTGTTTCATTAAAAATAAAAAAGCACTGCATCTGCTTAAATAAATTGTATCTATAAAATCAGCGTATAAACAGAAAATAATTTAAATAATTGTCGGAATTAATCCATTTCAGTATATGTTGTCATTGTACGCTAAGATACGTTTCGTGAGCAGATATGATCGATCAAGAAAAATTTATAAACAGTTATTAGGACTTGGCTAACCAGACGCTTTTCTGTAACTGAATGGTATAGAACATCAGATCAAATTAATGCATTTCAATATATATATATATATATATATATATATATATATATATATATATATATATATATATATTAGGTTATTTCTTCTATCATAACACGATGATCTTTTGTTAAAAAATAATGAAAAGGGGCTTAATTCAGTTTATTTCTAAAAAAAAATGCAGCTCCAACACGAAATATCTAAAATCGTATATAAATATATTAGTATTATTAATTTCTAGAGCCTTCACAAATTTTCTGGAATCTTTCTTGGAACCTTTTAGAAATTTAATGAGCCTTCTAGAACTTTTTTAGTTTATTTGTAATTTGTATGCTATGGTGTAGATATAAACTGTTAAATAATTTAAGATACATAAGTACTATTTATTTGTACTATTATTTATTTGTACTATTAAGATACATAAGTACTATTCAATTACATCATTAACAAATTGAAAATAAATCTTTTGAAATATATATTTCTTATCCTTATTTCGTGTATGATAAAATCGAATTTTTGTTTTGGGTGGGGATCACATTTTTTCTAGAAGTATAGAAAATTATTGACCTTTTCATTACTTTTGAACAAAAAATTATCGATTTATGACATAGGAACCGAGGTTACAAGCCATAAACCTAACATATATATATATATATATATATATATACAAAAGTGAGCATTGAAGTCAACACTCAGAGGCGACAGGCTGTTTCATGCTAGGCGAAATCGATTACGTCTAGCATGAAACAGCCAGTCGCCTCTGAGTGTTGATTTCAATGTTCACTTTTATATTTATATTTACATACACTCTATCTCTGATATTGAGCATATTATCCCGTAAATATAGCACACCTTAAAACTATATTTCTTCATATATATATATATATATATATATATATATATGTGGTATAGGACATATAAGTATATTGTATATATATGCATGTTGTATAATGTATATACGTGTAATGTATACATTTATAAATGTGTGTCTGTGTGTATTGCATTGTGTGCATACGTATCTTTATGTGCAAAACGAGAGATTTTATCTATAACGAATTTTGACCGGTTGCTTGTTAAATCTGTACATGGGAATGCACGACTGTTTTTATATCCAGTGGGGAGATGGCAAGTGATCTATCGGAAGAGGGCTTTCTAGATGGAGGTTAAATGCCAGAGCCCGGTGTCCTCCATCACCACTGATGGAATCATCGGTCAGCAAAGAGAGTGGTGGACATCAGCTATGGTCAAACGTGGAGAGGGGTAGAGGTTCTGATCCTGAAGAAGGCCGAAGTGTACAACGGTCGAAACGTCGTGAATGGGGCAACGAAGATGAAGACAATAGTCCGAACAATGTAAATAATGTAAATAGTTACCATACCTCATCTCAGAAATAGAGATAGATCCTGAAGAAAGCCAGAGCGTACAACGGCCGAAACATCGTGAATATAACAACAAAGAAGAACACAATCCGAACAATGTAAATAATTGCAATACTTCATCTCAGAAATATAAACAGATGAAGAAGGTCGGAGTGTACAACGGCCAAAACACAGTGGCAACAAAGATGAGGACAACAGTTCGAACAATGTAAATAGTTACAATATCTTAGAAATATAGACAGATATTAATTCACGAATATTAAATTCAGACGTAAGATTGGAAGATAGCAGTTGCCTACATTTGTCTTCCCGTTCACAGAAGAAATGTAAAAGCTTACGATCAGTCTTTGGCTTGGTCTGATAAAATAACCGATTTTCGATTGGCTATGAATAAATAAAACACAATAGAAAATATGGCGCCTTACGATTGAAAATTTAAGGCAGAACGCTAATGACACGTTGGAATTAGCGAAATATGTCGCATAAAAACTAGTTAAGTATTAAGAAACAGGAAAATTATGTTAACAACAAACGGAGACTGAGATTTCTTTTGTTAAAAAGAGCTTAAGAATACCATTGACAGTGCATGTAAGCAATAGGGAAATTTTACAGTGTAAGGGGACAATATGCGTACAACGAATTTGTTATATAGGAATAAAATGTCGCTCCCGACACTGGAGTTTGAACACAGATCACCAGAGAGCAAACACATGCAATCCCATTTTGAATAAGTAGATCAAGTGATGGTAAAGGAAATTTATATATAGGAATTAGCGAGGCGTCTAAGGGATCGCTATCTGGATTACTTCGGAAGTGTTCTTGTGGAACTCTCTGACTCTGTGTAGAGAGGAACCCAGACGAGGCTGTGCCAAAGGGCAGAGTCTCGTCTGGTGTGGGAGACAGCTACCTGACCCCGTTTTTACTGGGTTTAGGGGATATTTTTGGCCGAGCCTACGGGATCGGATACCCCACAATAAACTCGGCCTTGTGCCACATCCGACCGCGTGGGGTGGTTAGTGAATATCATCACTATTACTATTCGGATTACTATTTGGCTTTTACCATTCGAGCGAGTTTTATCGAGCAAGTACTATTAGTGAGAGTGTTATTCGAAGGCGTTTGACACCAGTATTGTTCAACGGCGTTACTATAGTTGCAATCTGCGATTACAAAGTCTCTACTACAACGAGCATTACGGAAGTGACAACGAATATTCGTTGACATTACAAAAGTGGCAACGAGTTTTCGTTTGATATTACAAAAAAAAAAAAAAATGGAAATAAGAAAATCAAGCAAATACGCCAATTTAAATATCTGGGAAACGTTTTAACACAGGACGGGGAGTGTGACAGTGAAATTCGAAGGCGCATTGAAAAGATCTCTTCTAAAAGTTGTGTAAGGTATTAAGAAACAAGAATAATTCGTTAAAAACAAAGCATAAGGTACTGAAATGCTATTTAATATGTCCTAGTCTGTGGCAGTGAATAAAGAAGAGACATGACGCAAAAGAAATGTGGTTCTACAGAAGGATACTGAGAATAAATTTGAGTAACACCGAAGTTTTACGGAAAATGGAAAGAAAAACAAAACACTTAAACATAGATCCGAAAAGAAACATTTGAAAATATCTTGGACGCGTAATGAAGAAAGGAGGCTTGGAAACTTTGACACTCACAGGATATATTGAAGGCTAGCTGGACAGAGGAAAATGACAATTAACCTACCAAACAATCTTGTGTAAACGGATGGGAGAACCGTGACTGGCAGAAATAGTAAGAAGACATTCACTGCTAAGAGCCACGATCGTCTACCTTCTGAAAGGATATCCACAGGAAAAAAATAGTCTAATTTCAATAGCCGATATGTACCTTGATAAAACATTGAATAAACACTTTCACGTGTTAGAAATTAATGGACAAGCCATGAACAAACCGTATAGAATTATTACATATTCGAGAGCTTTCTGAAAAGTTCCTGGTCTGACCTCCTTCTAACTAGGGGCTTCGGGCTGAAAACTATTCAACATCCCATCCACTCCCTAGTAAAATCTCTTCCATGTATAGCAAACACCTAATTTCGACAGTAACGCTCTTAATTGAGTGAATCTTGAGTCTTATAATGGGAGAAATTTAATAAAAAATAGTAGTTTCTTCATCTCTGTTGCTTTCATTATTTCGGCTGTTTTCAGTGCTGTTCATATTCGATAACTTTCCGGATTGTCGAACGATTCCGTTTATTTGATAGATCGTGTATGGTCTTCCGATTCGACTCCCTGTTACGGTCGGTCGTCTTTTTAAAAGAATATCAAATCTGGTAACTATTAATTATTCCTTCAGATATAGTGTAGTGTTTCCGGTTTTATCGATACCTTCCTGTAAGCTGTGGTGGTTATGCTTTTTATCAGGTCGTTTAGATAAGTATCTGCAAATCCCACTTTTTTCCCCTGCAAAATGGCGTAGTTTCATCACGAACAAATCCCAAACTGTAATAACCTCTGTTTCTGTGGCACTAACTGCATCCATCATATCATATTTTGCTCCCTCTCATTGCTAACATATCATATTCCAAATTATGTTTCTATAGCTACATCCCTACTTGACAAGAAATAAATTTCTTTTTTTTTTTTACTTTCACCCGACTCGATGGAGAGGCAAATCAATGGCGCAGCACTCGAGTCCCTGTAACAATTGAGAGAGCAGACAAGTGTCATTGGTCGATATCATGCATCTTCTACCAATCAATAGTCTTTGGACGAATCTAACGTTGGCAAAAGGCCATATTCATGAAGCATCTATTGAGGTATTAAGTCACTATGAAAGGCTTGCGTGACTAGTACACAAACTAGATGGCTTCTCATTAAGGAAACAGTTCTGATTATAAGCGAAAATCTCTTTACTTTCTTGGACAAATTGTTCCAAATATCATCGCCATCAAAGATAAACTTAGAAACAATATCACGTAGCGACAAGAGATTCAAATATCAATACACTACTCCGACTGATTCGTGACATAAAAAGTGTATATATATATATATATATATATATATATATATATATATATATATATATATATATATATATATATATATATATATATATATGTACATATAAAATTTATATACAGTTATTGATGTCTTTATATGTACATATATATATATGAGTGAGTGTGTGTGTGCCTGTTTGTAGATAGACAACCAGCCATAGATAGATAGATAGATAGATAGATAGATAGATAGATAGATAGATAGGAATAAACTGAGAAAGAAAGAAGGAAACAAATGAAGGATTACACTGAGGAAGAAAGAAAGAAAAAGAAATAGAGAATTAAACTGAGATAGATAGACAAACTGGCACACACACACGCACGCACACACTCACACACACACACACATATATATAGAGAGAGATAGATAGATAGATAGATAGATAGATAAATAGATAGATAGGCAGTAATGAGATAGCTGCGTTCAGGTATAGATAGATAAATATGAATTGACTGTCATAGATAGATAGATATAAACTGAGTCTTATACATACAGCGTGGGGCGGCAAGGCAATGCAATTGCTTCTTGGCCTTTTGGCAGTCAGCAGGGACTGGGTCAGTTTTGACTGTGGCCCGAGGAATAAGGCCTACCTTAAAAATGACACCTTGTATCGCATTCTTAAACTTAAAGTGGGTGGCGAGGTTGGAGGTGAATACCGATTCTCGGGCTTTTGCCTAAGATCAAAGTATAGTATCTGTTCTTGACAGCATGATCAGATTATTCTCTCTCTTCCATCTTTTCTTCCTACATTCTAACTTACTTTCATTTTCTTACTGGAACCGAGTTGTGTCTTTTTCTGCACACTATTTATTATGTTTTGGCAGGGTGAACTAACGAATGGAAGGATAACCACAATTATAGCACGATAGTAATTCTCCTGTCAGAATAAGGATCACATTTTCAAGGAAGGAAACTGAAAGAAATTGGTATGAACACCACCCAGACTCGGTTACGGAGATAGGACCGGTTACACTTTTATAGGACTACACAATACACACAGACAGACCAATCAAAACTAATCCCACCTAGCCATTGTTATTAGGGACAAAAAAATGCATCCTTATTGATATGGCAGCCCCTGCAGACTGAAATGTATCTGTTAAGATCTTCAAAAAACTATCAAAATACAAGAACCTTGAAATCAAAATCTCAAAAATGTGGCACATAGGATCATCAATAATGTCTGTTGTAGTTGGAGCCCTCAGACTGATTGGAAAAAATTCCAGTAGACAAATTGAAGAGATTCCTGGTAGCCCATGCCTGAAAGAATTACAAAAAAATGTTCCAACAAGTACAGCTCACACCTTACGTAGGGCGCCATCTACGTAAAATGTGTGTGTTATTTTTTTTTTTTAATTGGTCAGTGGAAAATATCATGATGCCATTTCTGACCTTAGGTCTCTGGTTGAGACCCGGAAAGAAATGAGTACACATCAGAAATCAAAGGAAATAAAATAATAATAATATTTCTCTTTCGAGAAAAAAATGACTACAATGTTTCCAAAAAATGGTACGAGTACCATTGACATTAATGGTAAGAGGATGTAAGGTAAAGACAGTCTCGGACTATGACCTTCAAAACATCGAATTATTGAACACTAAAGACTAGACAGTGGTCCTCAGTAGAATTGAAAATGAATGTCAAATAATTGATTTGGCCATACAATATACCAACAATATACCAACAATATACCAACAAAGCAAATAGAAAAGACCGAAATCTACTCTGACCTAAAGGTTGAGATTGCCAGATTGTGGAAATGCCGGATAAATATGTTAAAATAGTCCCAGTAGTGATTGGAGCACTCGTCCCCATCCCAATGAAGTTGAAAGAGTATGTCGACCAACTTAGTTCAGAATACACTTTGCGAATGTCCACCTGGGTATGTCGATAAACTCCATATGGTTTTGATCGGGAGATTGGAGAACGTGGAACCACCTTTTAATTGCTGTTGTTCGTAGGTCAACACTGACTCGGCCTGGTAGCACCTGTTATGGTCCCAGCTATGGGTTAAATCGTGAAACCCAAAACAGAAATAAAACATTATGAAAGTATAAAGATACATATTTATTATAATTACCAACAACACATATTTATAGTAGAATGACCAACAGTATATTATTATGATAAAATTGACCAGCAATACATTTCATAGTAAAATGAACAACGCTGCATTTTAAAAATAAATTGACCAGCAATACATTTCATAGTAAAATGAACAACGCTGCATTTTAAAAATAAATTGACCAGCAATACATTTCATAGTAAAATGAACAACGCTGCATTTTAAAAATAAATTGACCAGCAATACATTTCATAGTAAAATTAACAACGCTGCATTTTTAAAATAAATTGACCAGCAATACATTTCATAGTAAAATGAACAACGCTGCATTTTAAAAATAAATTGACCAGCAATACATTTCATAGTAAAATTAAACAAAGATATATTTTATATGTTGTTGAAGGCATGAATTGCGTTTACAATAGTAGGTGAAGCTTTAGAATTGTGTTCAAAATATTTAGATTTCGGCATTAAATAAGCGAAGGGATGCTAAACAAAATCAGCCTATCAACCAACTTTGTGTACGCTACAAAAATCTGACTTTTTGGAAACAAGAAATATACTTCCAAAATTACTGAGTTTCTTGTGGCTTGATAGGCAGTATCTTCGATGGTATTAAAGGCAACAGTAACATGACACTACTACTACTACTACTACTACTACTACTACTACTACTACTAATAATAATAATAATAATATAATTATAATAAAAGGAAATCGTAATGAATGAAGTAGTTAACATTGCCTATATAATGAATATTGTTTATTCTGAAGACAATAAATTTTGATGATTAATTCCGACAATATCAACGAAATCCTAGCACATTAAAAGCAAACAATATCAACCATTTTTATCCGTTTGACATTTGGTTGTCAAACACGTCTGTTAACAAGAAAGAGTAAAAAGAAATCCGGTCACGCCAATGCGCCTGCGTCGTTGCAGTGAGTAAAAATCACAAATCTCATTTTAATATTTTTTTAAATTCGTCTCTACGTGATCCATTCTTATTGGGTTTATGTTCATTTTTTGAAACCCTTCAACTATTTGACTACTTAGTTTGGAAATGACATTACAGAAGAATAGGAAAATAAAATCAAAAATTAATCATCACTGAAAAACAACAGCAACAACAACAACAACAAAAAAAACTCTGGGAAAGATAATCTTAATTGAAAACAAGCTTTATTGATGATTGTTATCGTGATTTAACGTCGATTCTCGTGAGATGTTTGTTGATATTAAAAGAAATATAAGCGACTATAGACTCAACCTTCACAATAATCAAAACAAAGATTCAATCGTTTGTTTAATCTCATTTGTATTGTTTAAAAATACTACAGCAAATTGAAAGTAAGCATTTAAGAGTGTTGGCTATATCCATTCAATAAAATAAACCGTATTCCTCGATCAAATGACAATGAATTTACCTTTTTGATTTAACATATTAAAGAATATGGCAAGACTAAAGACGGTCAAGGATAGCGCGATCAAAGGATCCAAGTATCCTGTGACATAACGTAATTGAATAAAGATAAGTCTGGTCACATCATGTGAGTACATGTCTCAGAATGTCATGACCGACTAGCTAACGTCATATGCTTTTGTGGATTCGATACGAGAACTCACATATGAAATGGCTAATAAAACAATATATATTGGTGCATATTAATAGGATATTCATTGGCTACATCTTTTCAGGCTCAGTGCTTCGCAGCTGCTTTAACGTGATCAGAGGATTCGAAATACGGAAGCATTGTGCGTTTTTCGGCCTCCCCCTTTCGCTTTAGTCTTCTTGCGAGTAAAGTAAGGGTAGTCAGCGACAGTAAAATTTGGTTGTTTTTAGCAATATAAGCTGTCAGCAGATATCATGTTAAAGACACATCACAGGATGTTACAAGAATCGTTTTGACAATTACCGGCTTGACAAAGAAGGTCAGCTGAGTCGAGCGGACTAAGAACCAAATCAACAGACACTGGGTTTTTGATGAATGACTTTTTTTTAAGATGAAAACTGACAGGACAAACAAGGGTTTTGCTCTACAAGACAGTGATCCCTATCAGCCTAAACTAGAGGACCGCTCGCCTGCCACGCGAAAAGGCAGGCATACGCCGGTTAGACTATCTTCCTCCCCACCTCGTCTCGCCTCACTACCAACGGCCCTTACGAGAAGGTTGCAACTGAATAAAATTTGCCAATTTACGTCTCATTTTTCCTTAGGTAACTATCCAGGCAAAGAATCATTTTCCTATAGCCACGAGAGTTTAACTAGAAGAAGCTGTACTCTGAGAATTACCTTGTGTCTGGTTTGAGCTACAAAGCTATATATTATAGGATCACCAGACGTTAATGCATGAAAATGTTATTTGCAAAGAAGAAGAAGAAAAGGAAAAAGAAGAAGAAATAATAATAATAATAATAATAATAATAGGAAGAAGTGGAAAGAAGAAGAAGAGGAAAGAAGATGAACGAAGAAGAAATAACTTAAGAAGAAGAAAAAAGAAAACGCAGGAAAAAGAGGAAAAAGAAGCTGAAAGAAGAAGAGGAAAGAAGAGGAGGAAAGAAATAATAGTAATAATAATAATAATATTATGAAGAAGAAGAAGAAGAAGAAGAAATAATAAGTAGTATAAGAAAAACAAGAGATAAGAAGAAATAGAAAAGAAGAAGAAGAGGAAAGAAAGAGATAAAGAAGAAGAAGAAGAAGAAGAAGAAGAAGAAGAAGAAGAAAAAAAAGAAGAGGAAATAAGAAGTAGAAAAACAAGCGGTAAGAAAAAGTAGAAGAAGAAGAGGAAAGAAAGAGATAAGAAAGAAGAAGAAATAAGTGAAGAAGAAGAAGAGGAGGGGGAGGAGGAGGAAATAATAAGAAGAAGGCGAGGGAGAAGTTTATCATCCAAGCAAAAATCTATTGTGTAGGGTAAAAATAACACCAAAATGAATTATAGCCCTTCTCTTTTCCATAACGCTTTTAGGAAAAGTGGTAAAACAATGAAATAATTTTAATTATTCATTATTTTCTATGTAACTGACCTCTTCCATCTTAAGATTAAACTTTTCCTCTGTCCTTACTCATGTCTCCGCAATCAAAATCTTGTCCATCATGTTTATCATCATTATCCTCATCTTCATCCCCATCATCACGTGTAATCGTAACGTTGCTGTGCACCTGAGCACTTGACCAGTCACCGCTACATATCCGGGTTTAAACCCGGAGTGCTATTCATCCATGCATAGCATGTCCTGGACTTGACGGAACCCCTCTATTTCCAGATCCCAACTGACGATAAACTACATCCGGCAGCAAGGCTTCTGATCGGGCGGTTTTGAGAAGCGTTGAACTATCTCTTAATTGCTGTTGTTTCGAGGTCCACCACCCTGCCCCGGGGTAGTAGCACTTGTCATGGTCCCAGCTATGGGCAAATAGTGAACCCCCGAAACAAAAACAAAACACTATGAAAGTATAATACATTTTTACAGTAAAAATACTAGCAATACCTATTATAGTAAAATTACTAACAAAACATGAATGAACCTGAAAAAACTCTTACATGACATTAATCTATATAATATCCTACAATTTCTTAAAGAATTCAAACTGGATTCAAAAATATAACTTCAAGAAAACTACATCATAAAACACACATACCACTGCCTCAAGTTACGTTCACTCAAACATGTATATGCACAAAAAATGTGTATCATCTACCATGTATTCAACTGTGAAAGCCGAATGATAGATATCATATTTTTATTACTTTCAAAGCTCCCAAGAAAATTAATTTCGGCATTAGATAGCCCAAAAGGGTTTATGTACCTTTAAACAAACAAACCAAATAAAAGAAAAATAATAACAGATATGGCCACAGATGTCCTCCAATCGGAAGCACAGGCAGATCAGGGAAATTTTTCAACCATTGACTCCAGTTCGGGAAATTTTCCCATTGTCAGTTGTTATGAGTAAAGTCTTGTTACTGACATGCCACAATCGCTGACAGAGAAAAATAACCATTTATGTAGGTGGAGCAATAATAATGTTGAAAAACAAAACCTTTATTTCTAGCAAAAAAGTACTTATTTTTCGACTACGGAATTTTTGACCCATGCTCGTTTCTTAGCATAATGATCTTAATTCCTACACAACGGCATCAACGTGGCTGCTATATCCACTCTCAGTATTAAGAAATGAAAGTCAATAAATTCTACAGGATATAAAAATGGAACATATCAGATCAACATTTTTTTAAGCTTTTCATCCCGAGCAAGGCGAGAGTGCCACTAGCACGTAAGGGCTTACAGAGAGTGGGAGCGAGAGTAAAGAGGCGTGATAGAGGAAAGGATGAAGAGAAGGACGGGGAATAGGTCACAGCATCTGGAGATGTCGATTGACATTACATTTGAACAGTTGGAGTTTTTATCTATCAGAGAAGCAAGTAAGTGGAAGGGAGTTCCGCAGACGGGAAGTGCGAGACATGAAGCTATTCGAGTAGAAGAGACGACTACATTTAACCGTTTCGACAGTGAAAGGGTGGGACTGAGATGCCAGCCTAGTAGCACGCTTAAATTCATGCAGTCTACGAACTATCGAAAGTAGCTCGTCGGAGCAGTTACACGTGAAAGTATTTGTAGAAAAGACAGAAAGAAGCGACGGCGCGTCTGTGAGAGAGCGACTGTAAACGAGATACCAGATCAGGCCCAATTACATTGCATATCCGTCTTTGGATTTTGTTGAGGATCTTAAGATAAATAGCGAGGGCTCCAGACCATATATGGCAGCAGTATCCCATGCATGGACGAATGGTAGATTTGAAGGATAGACACGGGCGAGAAAACATTTCTGGCGCAGCACAGAGAACCAACTTTCCTTGCAGTAGATAAAGCTATTGATTCAATGTATTTGTTTCATCTCGGATCAGCTGACAGTGTGAGACTAAGCAGGCGCAGAGAGGCACTCTCGTGGATCTGAGCATCAGATATTCTAATGGGAGGCAGGGAAGGGTTCTCTGTGGTGGGTAAAAGAAAGCAGTTTTGTTTTCGAGGCATTCAAGTTAAGCAGCCATATTGGAGGTTCTTTTCGAGACTAACGGCCATGTTAGTTTTGTCAGAGATGCTGGATTTGCTATTGACTTTCAGTTAATAACTAGGGACATTTTGATCCTGTCTCGCTATTTAACATAATGTCCTTACTTCTTATTGAACAGCATGAACATGTCTGACATATTCACTTTCAGCATTAAAATATTTGGCGCCAATAAATTCTACATGATATAAACTAATTTTAACACGTTGTCTTCAAAGAATTCTTTGATTAAAAGTGACAGAAACAATCACACTGAGGATTTGAATTTTCTTTACGGCAGTATTTTGAAAATTTCTTCCAATTGTACCAATGTTCACCCCAATCTGTCAGAATCTGAAAGCAACAGCACTAAAAGACACAGTTTTCTTTTTCATATTTTATGTATTTTTTTATTTCGTTAGAGCGAGGAACTCCAAAGAATGCTAAGAAAATATGGCCAATTAAAACGGAATTCAACAAGAAATCAAATCAATAAGTAAGGAAAAAAATCAAATAATCAATATATTTGTAAGACTTTTGCGTAGTTGAAAGGCTTCAATATGAAACTGAGAAATTATCATAAATTAATTAACGTTGGGGTGCTGCAAAGTTCTCGGTTCGATCCCCAAATCAAAAGAATCTGTCCGGGTGGAAAAAACAGCCTCGTTTGCACTCTCTTTTTGGTCGTGACACACACTTTTTGGCGCCTGTGTGGATAATAAAAAAAATATGAGAAAACTAAATGTAGTTTTGCAGGAGTCGTGTCTAGGAACATTCCGGGCTCGCTAGCTAAATAATGAAGAGGTTTGAATAGATAGACAGATCAATAGATAGATATGAAGAGAATTGAGAGAGTGCGAGAGAGAGAGAGAGAGAGACAGACAGACAGACAGACAGATATGATCAGACTGAGATAAGCAGATAGATACGCAGACATAAAAATAGAAAGATAAGTATATAGATTGATAGTGAGAATACCCAGATAGATAGATACAAACACATATGCCTATCAAGAAATGTAGGTAGATAGATAGATAGCACATAGATATATATGAGGACAAAAATATAGAAATATATTAAATGACCCAGATAGATAGATAGATAGATAGATAGATAGATAGATAATGAACATACTCAGATAGATAGATAGATAGATAGATAGATAGATAGATAGATAGATAGATAGATAGATAGATAAGAACATTCGCTGAGATAGATAGATAGATAGATAGATAGATAGATAGATAGATAGATAAATGGATGGATGGATGGGTGATGTAAATAGATATATAGATGGATGGATGGATGATGTAGATAGATAGATAGATAGATAGATAGATAGATAGATAGATAGATAGATAGATAATGTAAATAGATAGATAGATCGATAGAGGGATGGATGGATGGATGATGTAAATAGATAGTTGGATGAATGGATGATGTAGATAGATAGATAGATAGATAGATAGATAGATAGATAGATAATGTAAATTGATAGATAGATCGATAGAGGGATGGATGGATGGATGATGTAAATAGATAGATAGATAGATAGATAGATAGATAGATAGATAGATGAATGGATGATGTAAATAGATAGATAGATAGATAGATAAATAGATAGATGGATGAATGGATGATGTAAATAGATAGATAGATAGATAGATAGATAGATAGATAGATAGATGGATGGATGAATGGATGGATGATGTAAATATATAGATAGATATGGGGGAGACAAATATAGGTCGAGGATAGATCGATAGTGAGATAGATATGGAATCAGTGAAATAGATAAACATTATATATTGATAGCATTGAAGACCAGCACTGCCATATCTGGACCCTAAAAATCTTTGACTAGTCTGGCGGTTAATTTTGCAACTGCTTCCTCCATCTATTAGAAGTTCGCTTTGGTGTGAAGTGTGAGATATTTACATCGCAAAATAGATTGTATATGAACACATCACATTGATGTGAATAGACTGAGAAGCCCTTTTCTCATTTGTTTTAATCTGATTCCGACAGAACATCAAACTGATTAACGCCTTTAATTATCCGCTCGCCCACACTCAAAAAAACGTCGGGTGTAAATGTTCGTCAATGGCAAACGCTTCCTTATTCGATAGCAAATTTGCGCTACACTCCAGCAAAACCGCGTACGATAGAAGAACGAAGTCGATATTTAATTGCAGTAGAAAGCTTCTTCGTTTTGATGTGCCACCATTTTCCTTTCTCATCTGCTTTTCATTCAAAACTTTTGAAGTCGTTTTTGTTTCTTGTTTTGTTTTTTGTTTTTTTTTTTGCTTTGAGTTGTCCATATTTACAATCACTTTCCTTTCTGATGTTTTGGCGGGCTTTTTTTATTTTACAGGTGCTTTCCTCACTTGTTTTCTTTCAATTTCGCCTATTTTTTTTTTTCGTTTTCTTCCCCCATCTCCTCGTATTTGTACATTTCTTCTTCTTCTTTTCTTCTTCTTCATCCTCCTCCTCCTCCTTCTCTTCCTCACCATCTCCTTCTTCTTCTTCTTCTTCTTCTTCTTCTTCTTCTTCTTTATTTGCTCTTTGACCTTTGTTTCTCTGCATGTTTTTCTTCCTCATTATCATCACCAGCTTCGTTCTCTTCTTTCCTTTCTCCTTTTCTTCTTCTTCTTTTATTTCTTCTTAATTATCAACATCTATTTTTTCTTTGGTCGCTTCCTTTCTTTCTTCTTTTCTTCTTTTATTTTTTCTTTATTATCAACATCTGCTTTTTCTTTGTTCTTTTCTTTCCTTTCTTCTTCTTCTTCTTCTTCTTCATTACCATCATCTGTGTTTTTTCAGTCTCTTCTTCCCTTTCTTCCTTTCTTCCTCTTTTTCTATTTCTTCTTCAACATCTGCTTTGTTGGTCGTTTCGTTCTTTTTTTCTCTCTTTTCTTCCTTTTTTCTTTTTTCTTTTCCTTCTTAATTGTCATCATTTGCTTTTCCTTCTGCCTCTTTTTTCGCTTCTTCAGATTGGGTTTTAGTAGCTGTCGCCTCACACATTCCGGCAACTTGACTGTTTTAAGGAACAACAGAAATCTAGATCTTTATGATCATCTCTCCCCTCTCATCTAAGTACGTTCATTTCGATCTTTCTGCCTTGTTTATCGCTACAACACTTTGTTCATATCGATCCCTCAATCAACATGTCTCTTTATGCTCATACACATACATACATAAACTTACATACACACAGACACACAGACACACACACACACACACATATATATATATATATATATATATATATCAGTCGCGATTTAACAAGCTCGGTATATATCAATTTCTGTATCTACTTTTCTATTTATCTACTTAGTTTTCTTGAAACTTCCTTTGAATCCACACACAATTACACGTATACACACATACATACACACGGGATATATATATATATATATATATATATATATATATATATATATATATATATTATATTGAGTTACATAATAAAAAACCCCAAATACCTCCTAAGAATAGGTATTTCAACCAACACATTACTATGTTGGCATTTTTTATCTATACACTAAGGCGAAAAATGCCAACCTACTAACATGTTGGTTGAAATAGCTATTCTTATGAGGTACTTTTGGGATTTGTCTGTTATAGAACTTATATGCTCTGTTATAATAAATACATTGAGCTCTTTTTGTAGATCAGTTTTAATATTTTATATTATTAGGATTCACTTGGATTACATACCAACGGATTATTGCCTGTACTATATATATATATATATATATATATATATATATATATATATATATATATATATATATATATATATGTGTGTGTGTGTGTGTGTGTGTGTGTGTGTGTGTGTAACTACGACACACCGATTCATTCACTAGCTCATTCACTAAATCAAAATCTATCAGGACACTAACTGTAGAAGTCATAACATAATTTACCTCCTAGAATGCACACTATGCCAGAAACAATATGTTCGAAAATCTGAATGGCTCTTTCACTACAGAATTAATAATTATCGCAATTGAATTAAGTTGGCTCCCCATGAGAGATTATTACCTGTAGAACAACATTTCCGCCTACAAAAACACGATTTTAAAACCCATGCCAAATTCACTATAATTGACAGAATAGAAAAGTTCTGAGCAGATCACATCACAAAGATTTTAGAAGGCCACGAAGATAAGTGGCTTTTGCGCCTAAAAGCACTCCATCCAGACGGGCTTAATCATAAATTTACCAGCATACATAGAATTAGTATATAACCCCACTAATCAGGCCCTACCCACATTTCTCACCCACACAAAACAGAAATGCTGGCGGAGGTATTTAGGCCTCACACTTATACACACACCCATATTAATATAGACACTTACACACATTATACTCACTCCCTAATGAGCTAGATGATAACACACCCATACTAATATACACGCCTACACATATCATATTCACTCACTCCCTAGGAACCAAATAACACACACACACACACACACTTAACAGAGACACATCCCCTTTCCAGGAACCAATAAAACTGTCAAACTGACCAACGGAATTCAGAGCAGCATGAATCCATCCAGTCCTTATCTTAAATAACAACTTAAAAGAGACTGTTTGACCAACACAATGACTGACCAAAATTCAGGATAAAAATAAAAAATAAAATACAAATGAAAACTACAGATAACTTTCATTTTCTCCATAAAGTCATTCATTTCTGTAGTTCACTACTACTAACAAACAGATTTTTTTTCTCCTGATGATGGCCATACTGGCCGAAACTAGTCGAGGAATTTAATTGAAATAATAAAAACGAAAGAATATTAATATACAACCTGGTGTGTCTGAATATTTTAATTTATTAATATTTTTATTGTTCAAAACACACACACACACACACACACACACACACACATACATATATATATATATATATATATATATATATATATATATATATATATGGCATATCAAAATATAGGATTTATCTAAAAGTAACTTTGATTTTCTGCTCGTTATATTTACCAAATTCAGGCCCAAGGCTGCAAGTTGTGGGGAGAACAATAAAGACAGGGTTCGGTACAATAATTATATTCGACATTATCGGAGAAAAATATTTTCTGACAACTGAAACGATATTTATTTTTCTGAGCCGTGTTTGAATGGTGAATTTCACAACTGATCAATCTTTCCTGGATTATTTAATGAATACACTTTTTATTATTCTTGAATCAATAGACAGACGTTGGCCGGGATTATACGTGATATTTGAGTCTAAAAATGATCACTGGTCAGCTTTGTACATAGATTTGTATACAAGAATTGGTCGGGGTTATACCTGCTTAAAACATTAATCGGGGTTTGTTCTTGAGTTTATAGGCAAACATTTTGGGATTTATATTAGACTCTGTAAGTACACACTGGACTGGATGATACTTGAGACTTATGTCTAAAAGTAAACACTGCTAGGATTTGCATACACAAATTAGTCTGATTAGTTTATAGGTAAACATTCGTTGTTTTTATAGAGAAATATCGGTAGGAATTGTGTTTATAGATAAAAACTGATCGGGTTAGTAGGTAAAAATATATATTATACTGAGCAGATTTAAATGTGAGTCTATTACAAAATATTGTTTGGGATTATACTTGAGTCTATAGATAAACATTTTTTGGGTTTACATGAGAGTCCAGATGGGTAAAGATTTTTTAAGATTTACATTTGGGTCTATGAACATACATTAGATTGAATTATGCTTGAGACTTGAGTCTATAGGTAAACACTAGTCACATTTATCATTGTTTGATTGCTTTTTTAATGGCTGATGACCTTACGGGTCATTTACTGGTGAAATTTAATTTCCTTGGTAGTTTGGAAGTAATAAAAAAATATGTTGTTATTCTGCTTTCACAATTGAATACATGGTAGATAATACTCAGCATTTGTGCATACACAATTACTAGAGGCGGTGACGCGTTTTATGTTTTAGATATATTTTGAAATACAGTTTGATTTAAGAAATTTTAGGCTTAAGGCCATGAATATTTTTCTTGTTGGTTGATAGTATTTTATACGGATTTCGGTGAATTCGCTACAACTTGTTATTCTACGCTTATCTTTGATAATTCTACTATAAATATGTGTTGTTGGTAAGTTTGTGTATAAAATTTTTTCCTGGAATTTTAACTGTAAATATGTATTTTTATACATTTGTTTTTGCTTGTGGGGGGGTGTTAAGTAGTTGCACATAACTGGGACCCTAACAGATGTTACCCCTCCGGCTCAGGGTAAACCTGGGAACAACAGCTATTAAGAGGTGCTTCTACGCTCCTCAAGACCTCCAATCTCCAGATCAGAGGTCTTGCTGCTGGATGCAGTTTATCATCATCCCCAGGACTAAGTCATATTTATAGTTAGGTCTACATGCAAAAATTGGTCTGGTTTATACTTGAGTATAAGCAAACATTCTTTAAATATATAGTTGAGTCTATTATAATACCTTTCGCCGTCGTCTATACCCGATGGTGTAACCACGTTTTAGTGTTACGGTCCTCAGGATCTTAAAACGACGTTTTAACCACGGGGCTAACTCTGCACTGGTCAATCATGACATTGATCCAAGCTGGTTGTTGGTCGCTGGCCGCTTCGATCCTCAGTGTCTCTGCCCATGTCGTGTTCTTGATATCAGGGCAGTGGAAAATCGAAGGTCGTAGTCTCACAGCGCTGGTTCAAGCCGTGGCGGTTGGTATATTAAAAAACAAAATATCTACACGAGGAAAAATAAAACGAGAGATTCGTGGGGTTTGTTTTCAC